GATGATTCTTTGTTGAGACAATTTTTTTTTTAATTACAGTAGTTGGCAATGGTGATTTCCAATGTTATCCTTTCCTCTACATTTATCAGTTGAATTGCTACTATAAAGAAGAGCTTTCCCTTCTCTTCCTATTTATTTATTTCAGTGTAGACTCTTAGTTACTTCATTGAGTTGATAATCTTTAACTGCCATTAATTTGATGTACAAATATTTAATTTGGTATTCCAGTGGTCTCTGATTAGGCCAGTGATAGTCACATCAAACGGATTGATATAGTCCCATCAGTCTTTGACCACTTTGTGGTATAAGAATATACTCCAGGATCAGCTTGGTTTTTTTCCCATCCCAGCCCTAAAATCAGCCATTTATCCACTGAGTTTGCCCTTTGGTGGAAAATGTAATTTAGCTATCAGTACTGGACTAGATAACATTCATTGATCCTGGAATGTCAATTTTTCTAGGCTCTCTTAAGAGGATAGAACTGGGAAATGGAATGTACCCTTGTGTGCCTGTACACATGCATACACCTGCAGACCTACACTCAATACACCTGTCTTTCTCTTTCTCCTTCCCTTCTCTCTTTCTCTTTCTCTCCTTTCTTTATCTTTTTCTTTTTCCCTCCTTCCTTTTCTTTCTATGTGTCTTTCTATCTGCTGTCTGTCATGAGAACTCATGAGTTCACACGATATCTTCTGATCYCAATCTAGCACTGCATAGTTGTAACTCCCTTGTTTTACAAAATCTGGCCCTCTTTATCCACATATACTTATTTAATTGCTTAATTCTAACGTGTATAAAAAGTGATTTCAGAATTGTAGTACATGCCTGAAAAAAAGAAGCCTACCAATTGAGTTTAATATTTATTTAGAGTGCTTTGGTCTTTAGCCTGAGGGTGTATAGTCCAAATGCTGTGTTCAAAAGTTAATTGGGTTACCTTTTTTCCACTCTCACTTTTTAGTGTAGTTTTTTATTTGAAATTCAATCTGGTTCATTGGTTTCTTTGAATGTTCATTTTTAGGGCTTTCTTCTATCCTTACAGATTTTTTCCTTTTTTCCTCCCTTCCTCCATTCATTTCTTCCTTTTTACCTATCTCTATTATAATGTGAAGTAGGAACATGGTTGCAAATATACCTGTATAAAAAGATATCTTCAGAAGTGTTATCCTCTGTGTATTTCTTTGCATTCAATTCCCATGCTCTCCTTGTAGATATCTAATCTAATCAGTCTCTAATTTTTCTTTCCTGTATTTCTTTGCACACAAATAATCATATATATATATATATATATATATATATATGTATATATTTCTCATGTTACCTTCTTTCTTACATATATCTGCAATGTATACAGATATTCTTTTTGTACTTTGTTGTTTTCTCTAAATGATATATCCAAAAAATTTCTCCACATCAGTTCATAGAGATCTTTCTCATGTTTTTACATCCTCATAGTAACTCCATTGTATGGCTATACCAGAGTTTATTCAGTTACTTTCTTCATTAGCATTTAGATTGGTTCAAATAATTTGCATTTACAAACAATACAGCAATGAGCAAGTCTGTGCATAGGTATTTTGGGGGTTGTTTTTGCAGGGTAAGTTCCTAGAAGTGAGACTGCTGGTTGGTGGATTAATACTGCCAAATTCCCGCCTTACAGGGTGTGCCAGTTTGTCGTCAGTCAGCACTCTATGATGGGTTTGTCGTCAGTCAGCACTCTATGATGGGTTCTGTTCCAGCAACCTCACCAACAGCATCTAATATTATGCTTTTTAATTTTTGTTTATCTTTTGGGAGATAAATTGTATTTTAGAGTACTTTTAATTTGTATTTTTATGAGGTTTAAATGTTCATCTAGTTAAGGGCTGTATTTATATCTTTTTTGGCTGTTGTTCAGTAAATTGTTGTTTTTTCCATTTTCTATTTCGTTTTGATCATTTCGTCTCTTTTTTTGCAGTACTAGGGGTTGAACCCAGGGGTGTTTGTCACTGAGCTATATCTCCAGCCCTTTTATATTTTTTATTTTGAGACAGAGTCTCTCTAAGTTGTCCAGACTGACCTTGAATTTGTGATTCTCCTACCTCAACCTCCCTAGTATACACCACTGTACCAGGTGCGTGACCTTGATTTTTTAAAGATTTATTTATATAGAGGGAGTCCTTTGTATTAGCAAATATTTTTCTTCTAGCTTTTCAGCGCCTTTGGCTTTATGATTTTTAAAAAATATTTATATTTTAGTTTTTTAGGTGGACAAAATATCTTTATTTATGTGGTGCTGAGGATTGAACCCAGTGCCTCATGCATGCTAGGTGAGTGCTCTACCACTGAGCCACAACCCCAGCCCTTGACTTTATGATTTTTTTTTTAAACAGGCAGAAGTTTTAAATAATCTTTTTGTTGTTTTAATGTAGCCAAATTTATTGTTCTTTTTTTCTATTGAATATAGATTTTGAGTCATAGTTAAAAARACTTTCCATATACCTATATTAGAAAGGAATTCAACTGTGGTTTTTTTGTTTGTTTTTTCCCTAATACTTATATCAAATTCCTAAGATATTTTGGTATTTTTACTTTTAGAGGAAAAGCTTTCCCCAAGTAAGGCCGTGGGTCTCAACAGTTATTCATGCTGGGAACAGTGTTGCATGCCTGTAATCCCAGCAGCCCTGGAGGCTGAGGCAGGAGATATCTTGAATTCAAAACCAGCCTCAGCAACTTAGCGAGGTGCTAAGTAACTCAGCAAGACCCTGTCTCTAAATAAAATGTGAAAAAGGGCTGGGGATGTGGCTTAGTGGTTAATTGCTCCTGGGTTCAATAACGGGTACCAAAAAAAGAAATAAGAAATTAAAAGAAAAAAAAAAAAACCTGCATTCTCCCCCTACCTTCACCCTATATGTGTTACTTCTAATAAAATTGTCTTCATAAGTATAGTACTTAAAAAATATATTGTTCATCAATCTATGCTCCTTTCAGATGGTTCTTTTTTGGTTATCTAGTGAGATTTTTCACTTTTTCCCAAAAAAATACTTTCTGAAGTTTTATCACAGTGGGTTATTTTAAACTGACTGTTCACACATATGGTTATATAAACACAACTCCAAGAAAAAAGGCATTCCAAGACAGAAGTCAATTGGATTCAGAAGCATAGATTCTCCTACTTTCCTATTGTGCTTGACAGGTCCTGTGGGGAGCTGCTCTGAATGACTATTTCCAGTCCTGAAGCTTGAGGCTCTGACCAATCACTACATTTTGTGGTGATTTGAGTGTTGTCCCAGCTCTGATAGCAAGGCGGGTCTTCAAGTGTAGGTGTCACCTCGGGGGTTGAGCTACACTCACTATTCCTTTGTGATCCTACCCCTTGCCCTATTTGAATGGCTTCTTCCCCATAACATGGCTTCTTCCCAATAAAAGGGTTCAGCACTTGCTCCTCTCTCTCTCTTTCCACAGACCCCTAAGGTCAGAGGAGCTGTCACAGGACCCAAAGAAAAAGGCATTTCTCTGTCTCTGTGATTATTTCGTTCAGCCCAGTTCACCTGGAGTGAACCTGAGTGTTTAGTTTTGGAACACGACAAGGTCCATTTAAATAACTTTCAAAATTTAAAGCAATAAAATTATTTATTTCCTTTGACCTAGTAAACTTAGATCAAATCATTTATCCTAAGAAAATAATTTAAAAGAAGAAAAAACTAAATATATGGAGATGTTAATTGTTAATGTTTCTACTAGTGGAAAAATGGGAACAATCTAAGTTTAATAGTGACATTATAGTTAGGCCAAATAAGAAAAGTCCATTGTTTGGCTTTTTGACAATGTAATGAGAGAAAATTTAAAACTACAGGAATATGAAAACATACATAACAAAACTTGTATTGTAATGAAAACTGACAAAAACTTCAGTCTCTATTAGACTAGGTAAGTGGACTTTTTAAAGCAAGATTTACTTAGGTACAGGGTGAAGGATGTGTATAACCACAGGGTGAAAGATCTTCAGGAAGGCCTGCAGAAACACCATCACATTACTTACCCAGGGTAGTACGTCTGGGGCAGTTTTTAGGAAGGTTGTAGTGGATTATATTGGTCACTTGCTGGACCTTGACATTTTGAAACAGGACAAATATCCTTAGCTGGGAGTTGAGGAATTTACTGGTTACTGCTGCAAGCTCTCTGGAGAGATTTTAGAGGAGGATCTCGGTATGATGTTAGTAAGTGGAAGGATAAAACCATGGGACTGAATGATGTAGGATAGAACCACAGCCATGTGTTGAACTAAAGGTGTATGAGAGCAGCTGATTGTGTAAGTACAATGGAAAAATGTCTTTTCACACAAATAATCTTGTGGGTGAAATATTAGAAGCTTGAATATATACATATATCAACTAAGCAATATGTTATTTTTCTAACATGTGCTTAATTTTGTTTACTTTTTAAAGAACCAGCTGCAGTTTAATAGAAATGTTCCTCCACATTCAAGCAACTTGGCAGTCCAATATTCTTGCCCACATGCAATTAGAATTGAAAAACTGAAGCACTCGTACAATGAAACATATTATGGTAAAGATTCAGATTTTAGAGTTGGTCCTGACCTGAGCAGTTCTGTTTCATTTTCCGTCATATCAGAAGAGAGACTTAGCTATGCTGTCCACCTAGCCAAAAGAGATGTGAAGCGAAGACAATTTGAAGAACACATAAAAGAACATCATCTCAAAAGTCAACCCCAAAGCTCTCAGAAATGTGGACATACTAAGTATAAAATATCTGATCACAAGGTGGAGAGGAAGGATGCAAAGGATCAAGAAGTCTGTCAGTGCAGCCACCAGCCATCCAAAGTAGGGATTTCCAGCTCAGGTGCCAAGGTGTATGTGTACACATCTCATCCAGGACATTCAGATCTTACCCTGCTAAATTCACCACCCACCCGTGATCCAGGCCTTCAACTGCAGTCCAGGATAGCTGACCACAAAAACGTATGTGAACAGAAAAGCCTGTTCGAAGTTCAGCGACTTCAGAAAGAATTGAGCAATTGTATCCATAGAATTGAAGAGGTAACTAAAAAAGGTGAGAAAAATTAGATCCTTCTCTTTGATAAGATGCCAGGAGTATGGGATAGTTCAGATGCATTCATCTGGGCTCTCTATGCCCTCTACCAAGTTCTACCACCTCCTGTTGGTTCCCTAGAGCATAAGCCTTCATAAGTTTGACTGGGGTCTTCTTTCTCTGAAGAGTTTACACTGCCTGTTCCTTCACTATAAACACTATAACTCAGGCCTCAGCCAAAAGCTAGAGTTTCTACTGTCTAGTTCTGAGGTCTTTAGGCACCAGAGTACAAATTATCCTATAATATTTTTCTTCTGGCAAAATTTTAAAAATTTTATGCTTATTGTAGATAAAACCAGTTCCTGCTTGGGTGATGTTATGATGAGTACACACCAGTGAAAAGGGAAGTCGTAGACACCTGTACAAAATATCTCACCACAGGGTGGAAAAGAAGGAATATACTGATCATATATTTTTTTTTTTGCAATTGTCTGGCAATCTCAGTATCCTTGCATTTCCCTGGGGAGTAGAGGATTGGTTTCCTATGGAAAATTTTGGGTTACTATTGTTAACAAAGTAGAGAATCGAGGCTAACTTTTAGACCACAAGGAGAAAGGAGTTGAGTATTGAAAGGAACATTATGCTAGGATGGTACATAGTCTAGAATCATATTTTGCATTTTAAATTTAACTGCTGTATGCATATGTGTACATATGCATGCTATATAAAGAATTTAAGATACTTTAGAAAATAGTTGTTGATTTAAATAAGATAAAACTCCATACCTGAGGATATTGTGGCATAAGAAAAATAAGGAAAGGAAAAAGATTTACTAAGAGAGAGTTAAAAAGTTATTTTCTGAGTTTAGTAGGAGCCAGCTACAGAGTGTACTGTAATCAGTTATAGAATTTACAGCTTAAAACAGAAAAAACAATTATGTAAAATTGTGTAACAACTTCCACATTTTGTGGCCAAAAAGAAGCTTCCCCTGTGGAGTATGTTGTGTAATATCATGAGGAATTCAAAATTCCAACAGAAACCCTCTAGCTGTGTCTTGTTATAATATTTCCCTAGTTTTAGTCTATGGCATGACCATATACCTTAGGCAGAAGTCGTGCAAGGTAACAAAGCCGTAAGGCCCTCTGTTTTAGTGATCTGGCCTAATACAGGGGGACCTGTAGAATGGAGTTTTTCAGCATTGTGGGGAAAAACTGGATTAATTTATCTTATTTAAAATTTCAGTCTATCATGAACCAATACTTTGTAAACTATAACAAAAATGTCACAACTATGGTAATTGCTCTAAAGGCTTGTAAATGCATATTTTCAACTGCTGCACTTACCTTGTTGTGGACTAATAATAGTTTTCAATGGCTCCTAGTTGCAGACCACCCAGTAGGCCTGAAGTGCCCATTTGTGCTTCCCAAACTGCTCTGTAGACTGGTTGCATCCCCAGCCCTCATCTGCAAGGTGAGCAGTTAAAAACCCTACCTTAGGGCTGGGGATATGGCTCAGTTGGTAGAGTCCTTGCCTTGTATACATAGGCCCTGGGTTCAATCCCCAGCACCATAAAAACAAAACAAAAAAAAAAAACAAAACAAAACCCTGCCTTAGCCAGTTACTATTTATATTCTTATTATATGAATATAGTTCTTTCTCCCCACTGTGCAACATAAAAAAGAGAAATAATTTGGCTTATAGGCTCCTAAGAAACTCTGTCTAAATATAACTCCGGACTTCCAAAGTTTTGCATTCTTCCAAGTAGCCTTACTCTTTTCTTTGTTTGATTTTCTTTTTCTTTCTTTCTTTTCTTTTCTTTTCTTTTTTTTTTTTTTTTGGTACTAGGGATTGAACTCAGGGGTACATGATCACTGAGCCACATCTCCAACCCTATTTTATATTTTATTTAGAGACAGGGTCTTACTGAGTTGCTTAGTGCCTTGCTTTTGCTGAGGCTGGCCTTGAACTCCTGATCCTCCTACCTCAGCCTCCCTACCTGCTGGGATTACAGGCATGTGCCATCATGCCTGGCCTCCTTGTTTGACTTTTTAATGAGTAAATAATTAAAAAATTGAATTCATAAAAGTATTTGTTTGTATATTTGAAAACCATAGACTGGAAAGAATGGAGAGACTGTATCTCCCTCAGGAAGTCTTCTAGAAACAGTTTCTTTGAACCAGTCATTTAAAACTGTGGCGCACTGGGTACAGTGGTGCACGCTTGTAATCCCAGTGGCTCAGGAGGCTGAGATAGGAGGATCTCAAGTTCAAAGCCAGGCTCAGCAAAAAGCGAGGCACTAAATAACTCAAAGAGACTCTCTCTCTAAATAAAATATAAAAAATAAGGCTGGGGATGTGGCTCAGTGGTTGAGTTCAATCCTTGGTACCCCCCTAAAAAAAATAAAATAAATAAAACTATGGAGCACCAAAATGTATAAGTGTATGTGTGCTTCCTGGCAAATATATGAAGACTTTAGACATTTACATGATTTTAGCACTTGCTATGTGTTAGTGAAAGGATTTCTCACTTGGAATCAAGATAAGAACATGTAAAAATAATCTTGCTAAACATAAAAATGCCCAATAAAGAGTTTTTTTGGGAAAAAATAGCATAACAGATTTTGCCTCAATATAAAAATTTTATAAATAGTAAGAATTGCTTCACCATGGGCTCTCTGGGGAATTGGTTCAGGGAATTCCGGCATGGATGGGAGCTTGCCACTGTCTTCATGTTCTCTCCACCTCTGAGACAGTATACAGGTCCATGCACTCATTCCTGCTTGTTTCTTTCCTTTCCATACTGGGGATTGAACCCAGGGCCTCACTCATGCTTTTCAAATGCTCTTATCACTGAGCTCCATCCCCATCCCTTTTTATTTTTTTATTTTGTTTAAGAGGGTCTTATTAAGTTTTTAAGACTGGCTTTGAATTTTTGATCATCCTGCCTTAGCCTCCCAAGCAGCTGGGATTTCAGGCAAATGCCACAGCAATTGGCTCATTTCTAGTTTCTCAACTGATAAAAGATAAATTGTTTATTATGATAGCCTTATTTTTTTTTAAATCAGAGAGTTTCAACCTTTGTACCTCTTTAAATAATATTAAGTTTCTCTGTGTGGTTTATAATCCTCTTTGGGGGAAAATATTTCTAGATAGACTAGAAGAAGCTTTGGATCCAGATGAAGAGCGACGAATCCGTGTCAGGAGACAGGAGCAAGCTGTTCGTTGTGCCCGGATGCTCTACGTCCTTCAGCAGCAGGTATAAAAAGCCCAGAGAGAAGCAGGACTAGCAGCCTGGATGGCTTTCTTATAGAATTTCCATTTTCCTTTTGTCTCAGAAAGTTTAATATCAAAGTACCCTACATTTATTGGAACAGATTTGTGAGGCTTAATTTTCTGACCACATAAACAAGTAATTCTTATCCTTTTTGTTATCTGTGTGTGTGTGTGTGTGTGTGTGTGTGTGTGTGTATGTGGGTGTATTATGTGTGTATGGTCAAGCTCCTTAAACAGTGGCTCTTGACTTTTTGAGGTCATATAGTCTCTTGAGAATCTATTAAAAACCATTTCTTTCCTCTGGGGGAAAAATGCTTATACATTACACAGCACATATTTATGTATATGGTGGATCAGTTATCTTATAGACCTTCGTCCCCAGGTATGAACCCTCCTCTTAAAGGAAAGGGACCATCTTTGGTTTGCCCTTTGTCTCAGATTTATAATATATTTAAAATATAGTAGATAACAAATAATTTGATTCTTCTTTATTAAACTATAAATAATCAAGGCCTTTAAATATTTTTCAGGACACATTTAGTGGTTGATATCTGATATCTATATTCTTTACATTATGATGGATTTTTAAAAATATGTGTTTTATTTATTATGTTTATTTATAAATGTATGTTTTATTTATTAATAAATAAAAATATGTATAACTCATTTCTGGTAACTGGAATCACAAGTTGGTCTTATTGCTTGAAATAAAAACTGTACTTTTTCATTTAAAAGCTTAAGTTAGATTTTGTTCTGTATTATTTTATAATGCTGCCACAGAGAATGTCGTAACACACGAATCTTACCATCTCTGACCCTTGCTTAAAAGACTTCAGTGGCAGCTGGTGAGTTGGCACATGCCTATAATCCCAGCAGCTCAGGAGGCTGACAGGAGGATTGTGAGTTCAAAGTCAGCCTCAGCAAAAAGCAAGGCACTAAGCAACTCAGTGAGACCCTGTCTCTAAATAAAATACAAAATAGGGCTGGGGATGTCGTTCAGTGGTTGAGTGCCCCTAAATTCAATCCCTGGTATACCCCTAACTCCGCCAAAAAAAAGACTTCAGTGGCTCTCTGTAACTTAGAGTATGAAAGCTAAATTCTTTAGCAGAACACTTAAGACTTCCTGACCTAGCCCTCCTACCTTTCCAGAATCATCTCCACATTCTCTCCTTTCTGATAAATTCCTCTTGTATTGGGACCAAAGGTTGTAAGGTGAACACTGTGCTATATTCACCATCTTGAGCAGAAATCAGTACTGATTTTTGGGTACACAGATGAAGAGTTTTTCTCATTTTCAAGTAACTTAAATTAAAAATGGTTGTATTTGGACAAGATGTGTCTTTTTATTATTATTATTATTATTATTATTATTATTATTATTATTAAAAATACATCAATGGAAAGGTTTGAACTTTTCATTTTTTCTCCTTTACCAAATAGGTAAAAGAAATCCAGGAAGAATTAGATAAATTGAGTCCACATAAAATTAAACACACCAAGAAGGTATGATTAAATTATGCTTAATACTTTGTCTTTCCTCAGTGTTGCAGGTGAAATCCAGGGTCTTATGCATGCTGGGCAAGCGCTATACTACCAAACTCTACCCTCCATCCCAGTACTTATTTATCAAGTACATTTTCCATTGTTTTGTTAGTATTGTGTGAGTTCTCTGCACTAATATTACTGTCAGTGCTGATAGAAATCTGTGAGGATGTGAGCACCTTAAATATTCTGAATATGGGGTTATTGTTCAAGGAACAGCTTCTGAAAATATACTCCTGTTGTAGTTGCTACTAGCATAAAGAAATAATAGAAAGGGAAAGACTTAATTCATTACTAGAAACTTTAAGCTTTATAATTCCTTTTACTATGAAAAAAWTTTACAAGAAAAGGGTAGACTACAAATATTCTTAAGGCTTGTGTTAATGTTAGGAAGTTCTGAATATTGAAATAACTTCTYACATGTTGTTTATTGCCAGTCATGGGCARTGTCTAGGCTGGCTGCTGCCCATCGAGGAGCCATTCGGGCCTTACAGATGTTTGTTACTCAGTTTACCGACAGAGGGGAGCACCCAGTTTCTGCCCAGTGTAAGGAACTGGGCAGCCTTATTCGCCAGCTTTCACTGTGTTCTGCCAAGCTGGATGCAGATCCTTCTGTTCCTGATGTGGTTATAGATATCCTGCAACAAATTGAGGTAGGAAATTACCTCCCATTTTTCTTAAAAGTCTGTTGGTTCCAAGCAGGGAAGTAATGCTTAAGGTCACATAGTTTCATTAGGTGAGAATACAAGACAAAACTGCCACCTGGTAAATTAAAGCTTTACGGAGCCCTTTATTTTTATTTTATTGTTTTTATAGTCTAGTCTATATTATTATATTTCACTTATTTGAGAATTGGTGACTTGAGTATGAAACATGTAATGACTTTAAACCGAGTCCATCAATTCAATAGAATGTTCCATTATCTGGTCATGCCATTTAATAAAGAATTTATTAGCATAGAAAAGGAAAATAGTGAAGTACTCTTAGATTATTGCTTAGATTAGGATATCATTGTTCAAATGGATTATAGAAAAGGAGGAACGCTTCAAGCAGAGCCTCACATCTTGGGATATGACTAGACACTCTGAAAATCACAAATGGCATGTATAGTCATGAATGTACAGGGTTCTTAGTTCTCATTAGTAACAAAGGCAGTAATAACAGTATGCCCATTAATTTTTTAGTTCCTTGACATTTGCAAAGTGTTATCACATAATTATGCCATTTCATCCTTGTTGTGACACTGTGATGTATAGTTGATTTTATTACTGTTTTATCATTTAAAATATTTTTAAAAGCCGAGATCAGAGAGATGACACAATTATTTCTCTTGAGAGTGGCAAATGAAATTCCTGCCTTCTGACTTCCATGTCAGTGTTAGTTCCACTGTGCCATACATTTTAAAAATAAAAAAATAGTCTTTATGTTACTGTGGCATAGTAAACTGTTAGCTGTAGAGGAAAGGTGGTATCATAGGGAGAATTGGGGGTAAGTGACATGTAAGTTCTCCTATTACCTAGCTATTGGTAGTGTTGAAGGCCCTTTCTGCCTTTACAGTCCCATTGTTTAGCAAATATATTTGTGATTTGCTTTGGTTACATTCATATAGATAGAACTCCCCATTGGAAATGTTATTGTCAAATGCAAACCTCAAAACCTTGGCAGCAAATCAAATTGTGTGATGTTTGTTACACTAACCCATAAGAAAGGTTTATCAACCAAAATGATTTTATTTAGAGGACTTATCTTCAAAATCCTAGAAAGTATCTCAAGAGATTATCTAGTTCTCTCAAATTTTGAGCAAGAGTGTCTTTAATGTAATGTTTCTTAAACATAAAGTTTTTCTCTCTTACTTTGGAAAATATTCAGTAATGCAAGAAATTAATCTCTCTTGATGTTCTATGCCATTTTATAGCTTTCTATCTTCTTATTCCTTTATTATGATCTGAACTCAACCTCCCAGGCTGTGTCTAGTTGTCCTGATTGTGTACTGCTCAGATGGAGACCCAGACCTCACTGCCCAGTAATAATGGATATACATTTATTAGAAGATGTGCCTTTTTAGGAAAGGGGAACATAGATCTCCTGCCATTACTGTAGTAGACTAAGGCCACTGAATCCACTACATTTTTTTTATTTTCAAAAAGTATATTTTAAATATAGTATGTTTGCCCTTTTAAAACCCTACTTGAGTTTATGAAGTTTCTGTCAAGAATTAAAATGTTTTTAAAATATATAAGATAATTTTCTGGAGATTGTAGTTAATTTTTGAAATGATGATCTTTAAATTTAGGATTTGGATACCTTTAAAAATAGCCTTTAAAAAGTAGCCTTATTCATTTTCTTTTTGCTATTGGTTTTAGTGAGTTAAATATGTAAAAGAACTAATTAATTATGTGTCTTAAATAATGAAAATTTCAAATTAAGTTGAAGTGCATTTCATTAACCATTAAGAGATAGCCATTTAATTACTCAGTTTTTTTGGAGTCCTTATTTTTCAGTTTTGTGGCTAGAAGTCATACTTATTTTAAGGTAAACTAAGAGAATAATTGACTGTTTCATGACAGGCTTTGGAATCTCTCCTGGAAAAGAAACTATCTCCAAAAAAGGTGAAGAAATGTTTCAGTGAAAATCGGAAATATCCTATTAGTAACCAGAGGACATTAGGGAAATGGCCAGATGCATTGCCAAAGGGTGAAAGGAGACCCTTTGTATCAAAAGAGACATTGCCACAGGATACAATTCGACCTTCAGTGGCAAAGAAGCTTCTTTCTGGTATGTGTCTTAAAGTATTTGTTGTGAGATGTTTTATTGTTCAAGTTGTCTGGGCCAAAATAATTAGTGCACTGAGAGGGAAACTCAGGATTTATAACCTAGCCTACAACAGTAGCAATAACTAGGATCAGCAAATGTCATCCAAGATTCTTTTTTATGCTGAAGACTGGAGTATTCTGTTGAGGAAAGTAAGAAGGGAAAATTCTCTTTTTCTACATAATAGTGTTATTTATTATACTTAATGGTAGATATATGCATATATATAGATATACATAAATGAATTTGATATATATATATATGCATTTAAACAGATTCTGTCAAGGTACCTTAAGAGTTGACAGAATTGTTTTTACTAGCAATGACATCAGTATATATTTTCCCATATCCTCATCCAGTAATTTATATAATAAAATGTAAATTTTTTTCAGTTTCTCTGTGTAAAATCAAATCTTATTGCTTTATATTTCATTTCTTTCAAGGATTACTTCTTTCACATATTCCTTAGTTTACCTGTAGTTTACCTGTTGGTTATATTTTTTGTCTGTCTTCTGTTGGGTTGCAAGTCTTTTGCCTATGCATATATAGAGGTTCTTAATATATTCCGAATCCTAATCTCTTTTAAAATATTTTCTCCTACTCTAGTCACTATTTTTGAAATTTCATTATGATATTTTTCCTGAAAAAATACAGAAAATTTTCATTTTGTGGGAAAATCTATCTTTTTTTTTACATATTTAATATTTGATTAAACAATTCTCTTGTCTTTGTATTTCTTTTTCAAAATTTTGCTACCAGTCATTGCTCATCTTCCTCAGGAACTTAGGGCTTCATGCATGCTAGGCAAGCACTTAACCCTTGGGCTACATTCCCAGCCCCTTCCTGAGGAATTTATAATGAGCTTGTCAAATTTATGAAAAATGCTTTTGGAGCCCAGTGGCTTGGGAGGGATCTCGAGTTCAAAGCCAGCCTCAGCAAAAGTGAGGCTCTAAGCAATCAATGAGACCCTGTATCTAAATAAAATACAAAATAGACCTGGGGGTGTAGCTCAATGGTTGAGTGCCCCTGAGTTCAATCCCTGGTATCCTCCCCACCAAAAAAAATGATGTTGGGATTTTGTTTGTTATTACATTAAATTTATATTAGAGGAGAAATGATATCTTTACAATATTAAGTCTTCCTATCTATTCATGCCCTTTTTCTGTTCTGTCAGAAAGAGAATTTTGTAATTTGGGGCATGTATGTTTTATAAATTCCTTGCTAGGTTTTTTTTTTTTTTTTGCTAGATTTATTTTTAGTTTTCATATTTAAGTTTTATTTCTATTATAAATGAGATCTTTTTCTATTACATTATGAAATTGGTTATTGCTACTTAAAGGAAAGCTGTTGGATTTATATATTGTTTTTATATATGATACTATCCTGAAAACTTATTCTGATAGTGGAGTTTGTTGTGTCTGAGGTACACAATTGAAAGGGGGCATTGATATCTTACAATCGTAACATTTTAAATTTTAAATTCCAATGCCTAAGCAACATTTTAAAATTCATGTTGACACATAAAGTAATGATTTATCTTACAATGGATGTTTTATATTTGATGAAATAGTTTTTTTTAAATAGTTAATTCTTTTGTTATTTTCCAAATAGGTGAAATTACTTATAAATATTGGACAAATCCAGTAAACTGGTTTTTCTTTATTCTTTTCTTTGCAGTGTTGGGGATCAAACCCAGGGCCTCACATATGTAGCAACCACAGAGCTATATCRCCAGTGCAGTTTTTCTTTTTTAACTGAAGTAGAACATAACAGATAGAAATGTGCACCAAAAATAAATTTACAGCTCAGCTAATATCCGAAAACAAAAATATTTGTGTAATTATTATCCAAGTCAAGGACAGGACCCTACTAGTGCCTAAGAAATTTCACTGTACCCTGTTTCCAATCTCTCTTCCTCCTCCCCCAAATTATTATTATTATGATTTTAATGCTTTATTTTGGTTCTGCCTGATTTGGAACTTTATAAAAATGGAATTTCACAATAGATACTCTTTTGGGATAGACTTCTTTTGTGTTATATTTTGTGAGATTCATCTACTCTGTTTGTGTAGCTAATTTGTTTACGTTATGTTCTTTGCTCTGTTATATTGCATTGTATCACTCTGTCATACTTTATCTAGTCTGCTGTTTTAATTATTGGGTTGTTCCCAATCTTAGATGATTATAAAGAAAACAACTATGATTGTTTTTACATGTATGTCTTGATACCTGTGCACACATATTTCTGTCGGGTATGTTTCTAAGAGTATAATTGTTAGGTAGGTCATAGGTAAATGTTAGTTCTATTGTAATATAGTTTTATTTCCAAAGTAGTTTTATCAGTTGATATTCCCACCAACAATATCCTAGAACAGTGGCTACCCATCCTTGCTCACACTTTTCATTACTAATTTTTAAAATTGTGGCTACTCAGCTGGCATATTAGGCGTATTAGGCATTTTAGTTTTAATTTAAATTTCTGAATAACTAATAGTATGAGCACATTTTCATGTATTTTTAGGCCATTTAGATGCCTTTTAGGAAGTACCAGTTCAGGTCCCTGGCCATATATCCCTCCCTTCTTTTCTTTTTATATCTCTTAACTCTCTACTCTCTTCCTTCCTTTCTCTCTCTCTCTCTCTCTCTCTTTTTTTTTTTTTTTTTTGGTGGTGCTGAGGATTGAACCCAGGGACCCCACATATGCTAGGAAAGTGCTCTATCACTGAGGTACACCCCTAGCTTCTCTCTCTTTTTTCCATTGATTTGTTAGAAGTGTTCTGTATATGTACTGGATCTTAGTCATATGTGTTTTAGATATCTTAGAAGTAAAATGTGACTTGCTGGGCTGGGGATGTGGCTCAGCGGTAGCGCGCTCGCCTGGCATGCGTGCGGCCCGGGTTCGATCCCCAGCACCACATACCAACAAAGATGTTGTGTCCCCTGAGAACTAAAAAATAAATATTAAAAAAAAATTCTCTCTCTCTCTCTCTCTCTCTCTCTCTCTCTCTCCTCTCTCACTCTCTCTTAAAAAAAAAAATGTGACTTGCTTTTAAATATCTCAAATGTTCATCTTTTAATGAACAGAATTCTTAGTATCACTGTAGTTCAATGAATCATTCTCTTCCCGTATACTTTTTTGAGGGGTATTCTAAGAAGTTTTTCCCTAATGTTAAAGTTAAGACATTTTTTAATGTTATTTCCTATTAAAGTTTCATTTTCTTCCCAATGAAGATCCAGATAACTTAGCCCTCTTTGCATGCATTGAAATCAAGTGTTCATATATGTGTGGGTCAGTTTCTGGGCCCATTCTTTTCCTTTGATCTGAATGTGGGTCTTTTTATCAGTGCTAAACTACTTTAATTATTCTAAGTCTTCATATCGAATGGAACAACTTTTCACACCTCTTTTTCCCCTAGAGTATCTTGACTAATCTTGATCCTTGGCATTTCCATAGAAATTTTAGAATCAGAATTTGTTGATTCCACAAAACATCTTTCCAACTCCAAAAAGCCAAAAGACATCTATTGGAATTTTGATGGGGAATTATCATTTTTATAGTATTGAATTTCCCAATCTGCAAGCAGGGTATATCCCTCCATTTATTTAAGTTGTATTTATTTTTTTCTTCTTTTGGTACTGGGGATTGAACCCAGGGGTGCTTTACTACTAAGCTACATTTTTATAGAGGAGACTCTCTTTTTTTTTAAATATTTATTTATTTTTAGCTCTTGGGGGACACAACACCTTTGTTTGTTTGTGGTGCTGAGGATCGAACCCGGGCCGCACGCATGCCAGGCGAGCGCGCTACCGCTTGAGCCACATCCCCAGCCTACATTTTTATTTTATTTTATTTTTTTTTAATTTTGAGACAGGGTCTCACTAAGTTGCTGAGGCTGGCCTCCAATTTGCAATACCTCTGCCTCAGCCTCCAGGTAGTTGGTGTTTCAGGCATATGCCACCACACCTGGCTATTTAGGTTGTCTTTAATCCCAGTAATTTGGGTGTGCATATGTGTGTGTGTATGGGCTTATTTGTCTTTCATTACTTTTATTCTGCAGTGTTGATACTTTTAATACTCTTACACATGATATCTGTTTTACGTTTTATAATTTGATTTCTCATATGTATTGCTGATTTTATATATAATATATATAAATTTTTGTGTATTGACCTTGTATCTAGCAAACTTATTAAAAGCTTATTTCTGGCCATTTATCTGTAGAATTATTTTAATTTTGTCTTAAATATAATCATATCATTGGGCTGGGGATGTGGCTCAAGCGGTAGCGCGCTCGCCTGGCATGCGTGCGGCCCAGGTTCGATTCTCAGCACCACATACCAACAAAGATGTTGTGTCCGCCAAGAACTAAAAAATAAATATTAAAAAATTCTCTCTCTCTCTCTCTCTCTCTCTCTCCCTCTCTCTCCTTTCTCACTCTCTCTTAAAAAAATAATAATCATATCATCTGTTTATTTCCTTCTTTTCAATCTTTATTCTTTTTCTTTAATCTTTCTGTTTTGGTTTGCTTGACCTGTGGGTGACTGATTAAAAGGATAGGTTCAAGATTCTTGTGATACCTGAGACTTGTTTGATTTCTTGTTGCATTTCTGTTAATTTTTTCTTTATGTGTTTTGAAATGTTGTTCTTACACTTATAATCCCAGTGACTTGGTAGACTGAGGCAGGAGGTTTGCAAATTCAAGGCCAACCTCAGCAATGCGGTGAGGCCTTGTCTAAAAAATAAAAAAGGGCTGGGGGTATAGTTCAGTGGTAAAGTGCCCTTGAGTTAAGTGGCGAAAAAAAAAAAAATTCCTGACTTAAATCTTTTTTTCATGGATTTTATATGTTGTTATTATTAAATATTCTCTTTATCTCCTTAGGATCATGTTCACTTTGGATTCTGTTTTGTCTGATGTTAATATTGCTTCACCTACTTAACTTGTTTGGCATTTGCCTGGAATAAT